AACCCGTTAGAACTGCAAGGTTGGTGGTTCAAGCTCACCAGCTGCTCCTTGGAAACCCTATACAGAGTCGCTATGGGTCAGAACCGACTCAACAACACTTAACAACAACAACAACATAGTGGACTCCTTGTGTGGCACTGTAGGATCAGCACTGGACTACGAACCACAAGGTCCTCAGTTAAAACCCACCATCTGCTCCCCGGAAACCCTATACAAAATCATTATGCGTCAGAACCGTCTCAAAAGCACTTACCAACAACAACATAGGACAAAATAGAACTGTTCCATAGGGTTTCCAAGGCTGTAAATCTTTACAGGAGCAAACAGCCTCATCATTCTCCTATGGAGCGGTTGGTGGGTTTGAACCACTGACCTTGTGGTTAGCAGCTCAGCACTTAACCCACTGTGCCACTAGAGCTTCTTAGAAAAAGGAAAGTAGAAGATTATTACAACCACTTCTTGTGATCTGGACAAATGTAACCATAGTCAAAGCCCAGAACAGGTCCACCACTCCATTCACTCTCTTCCCTCCTCCTTCTAGGCCTAGACTGTGGTGCTTGCTGTGGGGTACACTGGTGAGCCAATACTGGGGTAAGCAGTGAGTCACTTTCTTTGTGTTTGGTATGTGTCTGGTGCAGCAGTTCTGTGTCTGTGCTAACCCAAACAATTTCTCAGAATTTTCGCTCCCCCACCCCTCACCCCAAGTCATTCCAAGTTAGTTGTAAAGAACTCCTGGGTTCCTGGGTCTGGAAAGCACTGATAATCCTGTAAGCTGCCAGGGCTAGGACTGGAGCAGAGACTCCGGGCCAGGCCTGGGCTAAACTGAATAGTTAAGAAATGCTCTGTTGAGGTTGCATAGATTGAGAAGCCGGATGTGCTTCCAAAAGTCCCTTCAGAAATCAAAGGCCCTTTCTGCGTCTGCTTGTGGGCCTGGCTGCTGCTGCTTTGAGCAGGCAGGAGGGGCCACTCATACAGCTTTGAAAGCCTAGCTTGGTTGGGGGATGGAGGGGTTGATTCCCATTTTATTTGCTTGTTTTGAAGAGAAAATTAGGCATTATCTCTAAGTTTTGACTGAAACCAGCAACTTTAGTTTTTAGAATTTTCATCTCGAACACACACACAGCATAATAATAAACAAAAACAAAGGACAACTAAACTCATTATCTAACCCATGTATTCCAGAGTGGAACTGCTCTATAGGGTTTTCTTAGCTGAAATCTTTACGGAAGCGAACTGAGAAGCCTTCCTTCTGTGGCACTGATGTACGGATTTGAATCGCCAATCCTTAAATTAGTTGTTGTTGTTGAGTGTCATTGAGTCAGTTCTGACTCATAGCAAGCCAATATAGGGGTTCTGAGGCATTGCTGTTGAGTTTAAACTGCTGACCCTGTGGTTCAAACTGATTTTTCAGTCCAGTGCATTATCTTGCAGCGCCACACCAGCACAAACCTTTTGTGCTGCCCAGGAACCTTACACACACCATACATACTAGTTATCTCCTAGCTGCAGTTTTCCATCATAATAACAAAAATAGTAGTTATTATTGTTATTGCTATTATTCTTTTTTTTCCTTTTGGAATTACTTGCTTATTGGAAAATTTTTTTTTAACTTTTTATTATGAATTGAATGAAAGCTTACAAAACAGATCATGAGTCTCACATTCAACAAATTATACACTTCACGTCCTTACGATGATTGTACTCCACTCCATGTATACCATCAGTTAACAGTATTTACCTCTATTTACATTATTTTCTCCCTCACCCCAACCCCCCCATCCACCTTGTAACCATCATAGAATGTTTCATTTAGCAATGCTTGGCAATGACATATCAAACAAAAGACCATTCTCCAAAATTTATAGGACATTTCAGTGCCTCAACAAGAAGACAAATAATCCAATTTAAAAAAATGGGCAAAGTACAGAAACAGATACTTTACCAAAGAAGACATTCTGGTGACCAACACACATGTCAAGAAATGTTCACTATCATTAGTCAGTAGAGATATGTAAATCAAAACAACAATGAGATATTACTCCAGCATTAATAACAAAGTTTCAAAAAACAAATGCTGGTGAGGGTGTGGAGAGACTGGGACCCTCCTACACTGCTAGTGGGACTGTAAAATGGTGCAACCACTGTGGAAAACAGTATGATGCTTTGTACTCTCTTGGTGAAATCCTTTGATGCACATAAGTGTCTAATTTTTAGGAGGTCCCAGTCTTGCATTTTGTTGTGGTTACGAATCGGGCTGCGAACCTCAAGGTCAGCAGTTCGAAACTACCAGCTGTTCCTCAGGAAAAAGATGAGGCTTTCTGCTCCCATAATGATTTACAGCCTTGGAAACCCTGTACATGGTCGCTATGAGTCGGAACCGACTCCACAGCACATAACCACCACCACCATATGTATTTTCAGCTATGTTTGATATTGCTATTATTCTTAGTAGACACTTTCTAAACAGTTCCAGATCTTTTAGACCAGTATTTTCAGATATAAATTTCCAGTGCTATCAGAGTTTATATAGTTTTTTGGAGGCAAATTAGTGAAGGTAAGCAACCCATCCCGAAACCAATCCATTTCTGTCATACACACTTCACTCTCATGAAATGAAGGGAAGAAAAAACGATGTTTTTCTTATCCTTTACTCTGGCCTGGAGCTTCTACAGTTTTAAGAATTAGCATGCTTATGTTGGGGGTGAGAACTATTCACCCATCCATCTATTCATTCAAGAAATAGTTATCTGGTAACCTACTATGTGCTGGACACTCTGTAAAGGGCTATGATGTCCCATTCTCTTAGTAGCCTCTCCCAGATCTCTCTGGGTAATTAGACCTCATCCCCTCTTCTCCATCAACAGGGTAACAGGATACAGAAAAAATGAGGAAGGGCGATTGGGGTATTAAATGAAAAGAGGCACAGAGTTGTCTTTTTCAAATCATTCAAGATTCATTTTGCTTGCCCCACTTTTTGAAGCCTTTTCTACACATAGATCTAACAGAGGATGAAGATGGAACTTAGGTTAACTGACAGACTGCCTTGGGTACCAGTGACAATTCTAGAGCAGAGCACTTCAACCCCCAACACAGAAACTGACTCCTGGACCAGCTACTGAGGGGTCTCTGCCAGCTGCTAGCTCGGAAGTTGGCTTTGACTCTGGGCTAGGTCTGTGTAAGTTGGGGCCCAGGCTCCTCATTCAGTAGCTTGCATTGATCTCTGGGACTCTTTTGTCTCCTCCTCCCCCATCGAAGCCTCTCCTCCTCGCTCCCTCTGCTTCTTAGACTCTTCCGCTTTTCTTCTCTGCTTCTAGTGAACTGAAATCTCCAAGAGTAGCTGAGGCTCCGGTAGTTTTACAAAACTGCCCTTGCTCTTTCTGCATTTGCCCAGTCAAGGGTATGTATCTTTGCCTGAGGTTGGAATGATGCTGTTAGTCCTGGTGATATGATTGCATAGCAACACAGAGCAGCTCCATGAGAGGAGGAGGAGAAGGAGGGCAGGGAGGTGGGAGAGACAGAGGGAGAGTGTGCATACAGCAGCTGTCGGCATCCCTGTCTCAGGGACTTCTTTGCTGATTCACAGAAGCAGCCCAGCTCCAGCCTCCCAGCTTCCAGCTGCCGCCTGCTTCTCAGACCTGACGGAATCAGAAGGTAGGCCACAGAGAAATATTTCCAAGTCATACCGTTGTTCCCCTGGCTGAAGAGAAATGACTGAGGGAGGGAAAGCTTCAGAGGTACTGGGAGAGAGAGTGAGTGTGAGCACATGCGTGTCTGCCTGCCTGCCTGCTTGCATGTGCTGTTAGGGGAAAACTTGCACTAAAAAAAATGCCCACAATGAAGTAGGATTTATAAAGAAAAAAAAAAAAAAAGATGCCCATGAATAGAAACTCAAATCAGTTTGGGAAACTATAGTCTAAAAATGAGGAAGAGGTAGCTTCATGGTTTGCTTCTTTGGATATGGGGTGTATGTATTTATTTTTGTTCTCAATGACAGGCATTTTGTCCAAGGGTGGATTTTCTGGAGGGAGAGGAGGGGAGGTGTGTGGAAAACATTGACTGAAAAAGGAGGAGAGATGAAATGTGGGACCTCAAAACAGATTCCCTGAACAAATGAGTATTCTGGTCCGTCCATAGGATACAAGAGTTCTCCCTGAAGTAAGCCAGGCTCTGACCTAAGAGCCCAGGGGGAAGGGCCCATCCTCATCCTCATCTTCAGCATTTACCTCCTGGATCAGTTCCTGTTCCCTGTTGCATTGCCCCCTTTGGTCTTCTTCTTTAGTTTCCTTTTTACCCCCTGTAGCCAGGAGATATATTGCCACTCTTTAGGTGAATGATCGGAGTGGTTTCAATGGACTTACCTGTCTTGGAGTCAAATACCTCATTTTCTTCAGTTCTCCTTACTTCTCTCCAGCATCAGGCCCAAGTATGAATAGGGAAGGTTTTTCCTTCCTTTGGTAAGCAGGTAGAGCCAGGCCTCACCGTCTAAGCAGGTGGCTGAGCTAGGGCAGTAGCTGGGTTGGGGTGGAGAGATAGGGGATGGCATCATCATCAGTTGCCTATTTCCATTGAGAGCACATTGCATGCTGCCTGAAAAAGAACATACTTTTCTGTTTGCTGCTTGATTGTTCAAAAGAACAAAAGCCTTTAAGAAGCTCTCTGTGCAGCTTACCTTCACTCCTGACTTTCCCAAGGGAATTCTTGGTTTTAGATTAAAAGCCCTTAGGTAAATCATTTTTAAAGGGACCTGTGGGAGCCACAATCCTCAGGAGATTTTCCCTCTGGGATTTGGGTGGGAATCTCAAGGCCTTTTAATGCTATCTCTCTGAAAAGGTAATGCTGGAAATGTGGTGTCTTATCCCTGAAAGAAGACGGAGCTCCTCTTTTCCTGGGTGGGCAGATCTGTGTCCTTCAATTGTGCTTTTGTAGAGAGTGAAGGAACACAGGAATAGCTCCTTTCCTTAAGGAACTTATACCATGAGGCATTTAGCGTTAGCTAAGTAGCTCTGAGCTCTAGGGCCAAGCACCCTTCATCTCTGCAATCACCTGAAAAAAAAAGGAGCATGGTTTGAAGCAACCACTTTAGCAAAAGCTCAAAAGCCAGATGCAGACAGCACATCTGGTATATAGCACAACTAACCATAGATGCTCAGAAGTTTATGATGTAGAATCAGCCACAGTGCCAGATAGAATGGGGTCTCACTGATGAAGCCTGAAAGGACATCCTTCTAAGTTTATAAGGGACAATTACTTAAAGAAAACCAACTCTGTGGAAAATGTACTATGAAATGGATATCCCTCCCTTAGAACAGATTCTAAATACATGTCTACACCTAAAATAGCAACGGAGATAAATTCTCCTAGGATAGCATTTACCAAACCGATGTTCCACAGAACACTGTTCTGAGAGAATGTTAATACATTCTGTTTTCAAAAATAAGGAACAGGAGCAGAGGGTAGTGAGGGGAGGTGTAATTCTGTGGTTCAGTAATTTTTTGGAAATACTTTATAACTGCATTCTCCTCTTGGAGAATCACAATGTACTAATGCATATGGAAGTCTCTAGGAAGTACTGTTAGAAACACACAAATGTTTAATTTTGTTCAACCCAGTTTACTCTGAACTGGAAACATTTTGCTTCATGGGAAACATGTTAGCATCTTGTAGACAGAGTTTTGGAAATTATGGTTCAATAAATAAATAGATAAGAAAGAGCTGGAAGAAACAGTCACATAAAAGAAAATTGTAACCTAGTCTAATACCACCTTTTAAAATGTTATTCAAATTGTTCTAGCTGATGAGTATTGAGAGAGTAGAACCGTTGTCTCCTGATTCTCAGCTGCTTCTGTAGCAAGTTTCTTCCAGTGAAACTGTTATTGTGAAGTACCTTCCAGTCGGTTTTGACTCATAGCAACCCTGTATAGGGTTTCTGAGGAGCAGCTGGTGGTTTTGAACAGCCGATCTTGCAATTCAAACTGACTTTGTGGGCCAGTGCATTATCCTGTAGTGACACACCAGGACTCCATTCCCAGAAAAATGAAGCAGGTTTAAGGAATAGTTCTTCAATTTGTAGTGCAGTCCTTGTATTTAATACATTTCTTTTTGTCTTTTAGTATAGTCAAAAATGATAAATTTTTCTATAAGCATGGGATTAGTTTCATTCTTTTAAAAAAAGTTATGAATTTATAAAATACAGTAAAAATATAATTAAAATATATAGTGAATTTTAAGGTACCCACTGCCTAGCTTAAAAAATAAGCATTATTTGTGTACTCAAAACCCATTGTGCATACCTCTCTCTGAAGTAAAGCTTCCACCCTTTCTCTGAAGTGCACTGTTCCGGTTTTGATGTTTATTATTCTCAGATATTTACTTATATTTTTACCACATATGTATGTATCTGGAAACAACATATACTATTGTTTTATATTTTTTTAAAAGTTTATATCAATGACATATTTGTTTTTCTGCAATTTGCTTCTTTTTCTATTCAGTGTGATATTTGTGAAATCTATCATGTTATAGTATGTTTCTAGTTCACTGATTTTTCACTATCATATAGCATTCCATTTAGTGATTATACTACAGTTTATTTATTCATTGCTGTTCATGGACATTTAGGCTGTTTTTCTCTTATCTTGGTTATTACAATTAGGGCTGCTGTGATTGTTCTTGTGTAGAGATTCTGATGTGAATATTTATGTAGAATTGTCCCATGGCAGGATATGAGCATCTCCACCTGTGGAAGATATGTGTCAAATGGCTCTCCAAAATAGTTTACTAACATATACTCCCACCAGCAGGGTATGAACGTTTCAGATTGATTACATTAATTCACTATGGGGTTTTTTTCAGTAGACATGAAATTTTATATCTCAAAATTGTTGGGAGCTACCTTCTCAGGAACACACTTCATTGTTTTCAGTTGTAAATGAGGAGTTGGTCTTGATGATCTCTAAGGTTCTTTCCAGCTCTGACAGCCTGGGTCTCTATTCATTATGTGACGTACATTTGAAACAGAACTTTGGTTTTTGGCGACGTTGCAGGAATTATTTTAAGCACACATGACAAGCTTCAGAACCAATGACATGTATGCCTTCTCTCTGACTGCCATGCTGCCACCAAGTAGAAAGCAGTGCTGTGAGAGCATGGGCCACCAGACAACATGCCACTTTGGACCAAGGAGAGGAATCTGCTCAAGGAAGGGGAGTCTTTTTCCCATTTCCCTGTTCTTTCCCCGAAACTCTCACGATCTTAAAATGCTTCCTATTTCTTGACTTTCCCTTAAGAGACTAATAGCAAGTTCTTATTGTTAAAAAAAAAAAAAATACAGTCTAGGAGGACTGAATGCTTGAGACAGTGAGCTTCTATTAAGGATGATGGTGTAATTTGTGAATGCATAAAGATGATGGGTGAACATGATGGACATGAGTAATGTCATTGAACTGTATACGTATAGATGGTTGAAATGTCAAATGTTTTGTTACATATATTTCTACTATATATATACACACACACACAAACATATACTTGTTTGTGTTGAGTGCCTTTGAGTCGGTTCTGACTCATAGTAACTCTGTATAGGTTTTCTGAGGAATAGCAGGTGGGTTTGAACCACCAATATTTGGGTTAGCAGTCCAATACTTACCCTATAGCACCACACCAGGACTTCTAAACATACACTACATACAAAAAACAAAAACAAAAACAATCCAAAATAAAAGTACATGGAGTAACACATTTGACCTAGCTTCAATGGCTTGATGATCACTACACAACTAGAAGATTTAAAAATTTTTATAAAGGAAACAAGTGTACATTTTATGAACTTGACCTATACTTATGGATGTAGTAGCTCAGAATACCAGCTGAGAGGGAAAGGGTCTTCAACCTATCCCCTCTGTACTCTTGATTGATAAGGATGGGCAACTTAGACACTGGCTACCTAAAATGGAGGGGCTATAAAGGCACAAAGTGACTGGCTTACAAGTTTTCAAGAGGGAGTTTAATTCCAGAGTATGCAGGGGAAAGTAGAGTCCCCACTGAATAGTTTTCATCTTGTCTAGACTGATCTGCTGAAGGAGATGGGGGATAAGATTATTATGATTCAATAGCGAGTAATTATTATCATGACTAATTGCAATAGTCACAACTGTAAAGGTAGAAGTTTTGTAACATAAAGGGAAGAGTAGTTAATCTTACATTCCAAGAACAGAGGACCCTAGGACCATCAAGGGAGAAGAGCATGAGTGAAATGTGTGGTTACGAATTGGGCTGTGAACCGCAAGGTCAGCAGTTCGAAACTACCAGCTGCTCCACCAGAGAAAGATGAGGCGTTCTGCTCCCGTAAAGATTAACAACCTCGGAAACCCTGTGCAGGGTCGCTATGAGTCGGAACCGACTACATGGCACATAACAACAACAACATAGGGTTTCCATTGCTTATCCCACTACACGTATAAGTAGTTGCTAAATGCCAGAAATTTTGAGTTAACTCCATAAGACAATCCTCCCAAGTTGGTCTTTATGTTATTACTGTTTTACAGATGTAGGGACTGAAGCACAGTAAGGTTAGGGAGTTTGTCCAAATCTGTGATAAGTGGCAGAGCCAGGATGCAAACTCAAGTGTCTTGGCTCAGAGCCTGTCATTAATG